ACAGGTCATTATTTACTGCCTGGGGGGCTGGAGGATTCTGGTTGTGACAAGATATTATTTACCCAACCCCCCCACCCCCTCCCCCTAGGCTCTCTAATATTCTTATGATCCCACTCATAATCCCACCCACGCAGTTAATTGACAATCGATTTTTTTATACTACTCCCTTTATACTCTGAAGGAGAGGATTGTTTCCCCCGCCGCTCCCGCCTGAAAACCGTGTGGTACCCTTAAAAAATCTTCCAACCCCCCCCCCCCTCCTGCCTTTTTAGGTGATAGATAATAAGTGTTCTCCGCTAATATGATAAAAGAGAGCGGCTGCATAACCCTTTCGCTCCCGAGATCACATCAGTGATTCTTTCTACTGTCTGCCATACAATTCTTACGATGTTAGTTCGGATAATTTGGCACTGAATCAACTAATAATCCCCTCCTTGATATTTTTCGTTATCTTCATCGCTTGTGAACTTGATATTTTAAGGATATTGTGAAGAGAAATTCTGTCTCGGTCATTGATGGGAGTTAAAGGGATAACATTTTTTAAACCAACTGAGCGGGCTCTCTAATTTGTCTCAAGGGAATGTCCCCCATCAATTGTTAACCTTTGATTCTTAGGTAAGATCTTCATGTAACTTCTTTCAACAATTTCAGTTTATTGTCAAGTAAACAGGTGCAACTTTTTCCTTTTCTTATTTTAAAATAATTATCTACAGCAGGACACTTGGATAAAGAATAATATTATGATAGATGACACGGTCGTATGGAAGAAAACAAACAGAATTGAGTATCGAGGCCTTTAATATCTACTACAATTTTAGGAAAAGAGGCGCAAGTAAATGGGGAGATATTTAATATCACTTACTGCTATCACTACGCGGATTGAAGTTGAAGCCAAACACTTATACAGGACTTCTTATTTCGTGACACAGGCCTGAGTTTCATCAGCCACTAACAATCATATTAGGATCTTTTGTGATCCGCTTTTTTGAAGCGCAAAATAAAAAAAACTAAAAAATTAAAATGAGTGACATGAATGAAGTTTGTCAGCTTGAGTTGTTCCCATGATGTTATTGCTTAATTTTAAATTGCAGCAAAACTATATGATGTCTATTGTATAAAACAGCGTCAGCTTCTATTAATCTTTTTTGTTTATATCCCCATATTAAAACAACGAGCCTGTGAGCTTTCTGTAACTGATTAGATTTAAGAACAAATTAATAGCGTAGGCTGCGTGTCCAAATATGGAAGCACGTCACAACCTTAAACATCATTGTAAAAATAGAGAAAAACAAACACCTGTTATGACTTTATCAAACAAACATAACATGTCATGAACTGGAAAGGAGCTTCGATTAAAGAGAAGTAAGTTTCTAGACAAAAATTGTTTTAACTGCTTTTTTTAATCGGAGTTTTGCAAGTAAAAAATACGGACGGCTTCGGAAAAAGGTAGGAAATACCTGTTATGTGTTGCTGTGTTTTAATTGTTCTTTCTTTGATGTAAAGAACATCCTTTAGCAAATCAAGCTAAGAATCTACTTATACAATCTACGAATTCTCGCAGTGTAATTTAAATAAACAAAAAACGCACCAAAAAGGTTTAGAGTAAAATTATGTGTAATTTTCCCCCACGTTAAGATTTTTCTTCAATGTAAATGTTTTCATGACTTTAAATATATGAAAATGATGATGAATGATGTTTACAGGTTAAGATTTTCCTTCAATGTAAATGTTTTCATGACTTTAAATATATGAAAATGATGATGAATGATGTTTACACGTTAAGATTTTTCTTCAATGTAAATGTTTTCATGACTTTAAATATATGAAAATGAAGTTATGAATACACGGGTTTACTTGGAGGCAACGTAATGACCAGCTCCCACTTGGCTTATTAGCTCAGTTGGTAGATCGCTGCACCGATATTGCAGAGGTTATGATTTAAACTCCGTACAGGCCTGAATTTTTCTCGGGCCTTATTTTCACTATTGCTTAAGTGGTGTTCATTACTTCGAAGATCGCGTTTATATTCATTTCGTAAGTTTTGCTGCTGTCGCTGTGTCTTGAGAACACGAACTGATTGAGAGTTGGAAATAAAAGAAACTGAAAGGAGCGACCGTCTGTTTTCTTAAAAGGAAGGAGTCAAATATAAATTACTCCCTAGCTACATTCAATAAACGAACTCAGATTTTTACTCTGTTATGTAAAAATAGTATGAATCATGACGAACCTGGCTGATGCTCTTAATAAATTTATATTTTATTTGTTTAGCTGTATTTATTTTTAATATCGTAAGTATTTTTCTTAAGTTCATTTATTCAATAGTCCGACTTTGACTTGTAATTTAAGCCTGTTTGAAGTTTGAGTCTCTGTACTTGTGTTTTGGTTTGTAACAAGTTTATCCTACGATAAGCCCTAAACATTTTGTTAGGCAGTGGTTTGAGGAAAGAAACTCACGTATTAAAAATTACACACCAATTGTTATGATTTATTTTTCTCCTTTCTTGACAAATTTCTTTCCATTCTTTCATCGTTCCTTCTTCATTTGTTGCTCTTCGCCATCTCTTCCCTTAATGTAGCTTTTTCCCTTCCTACTAACCGTAACCCTAACCCTTCCCACGTTATAGCGAATTGATGATGATGACGCTTATACTCCAAAACTTTACTGATTCCCTGTTTTTCAACATTTTCAGCATGAAGTGGTTTGCTATAATTTTTTTACCTTGCGTTGCTGGTTGTCAAACGACCAAGTTTGTGAAAGAGGAAGGTCATGCCCTCAAGAATCACGTGATAAAAACCGTGACCGCCATGCAACCGATAACATGTGTGTGGCAATGCGTGGACACTCCACTATGTTTTTCTCTGAATGTCAGATCACTCCCGACTGGTTGGGTCACGTGCGAACTGAACAATTCGAGCAAAACGGCTGACCCACAGGATTTCCTATTCAGTCCTGAAACTCGTTACCAGCAACTTGTGGTAAGTGGCTGTCACCATTTCACTGATGGCACCGACCAGTTTGTAAATTCTTTCTACAAATTAACACAATCTCAGATCAGAAAATATTGATACGTTCGCAGAAACCCATGAAAAAAATACTGATTGCTCTGGTTGTCAAATCAAGGATATTCGATCTTTCTCAGTAATTATTGGAATATCTATTTTTTACTCTCAAATTTTAGAAAGTTGAGCATTGCACAACAAAGCAGTGTATCTACAAAGATGGTAAGTCTATTGTCATTTACCATCGCATTGCAAAGGGCCTTGGTAAAAAGGGCTACCTTTCTTTGCCTTTACTATAGCAGTGCACAATAAAGTGCTTTTCTATTCAATGTTCAGAGGCACAGGAGGACAACTCTAAGCACGGGAAGACACGAGTCGAGTCGCCATTATTGATAAAGGGAAAAGCCCGATTACAGAGCACAACAAACAAAAACTAATGCACCTTGCCCTTCGATTAATATGCTCCTGAGTATCGCAAGTTTAAAGAAAAGAGGTTATGCTTGCTGACATATGACATGACATGAAAATCGTTGACTTCATAATGCGCTTGACGCATCAATTGAAAAATTCGAAATTTTGATTTTGTTTTCTGATTTAGTTTTTCAAGATGGCTGGTTTAGATTTGGTTCCAAGCTCCTGAAAAGTTTCTCTGAGAGAAAGACTTGGAAAGAAGCCCGGCAGTTCTGTCATTCGATTGATGGAGAACTTGTGTCAATCACTCACGAAAACGAGAATGAGTTTATCAGTCATTTGCTTGACCGTGTCAAAATCGATGAAACAGGTTGGCAGATATTAAAAAGTCACTTTAAAAAATATGAATACCACTCTTTAGAAGAATGATCGTCAAAGAAGTTAAATGATTGATAATGAGGTTTCTTGTGTATCTAGAGAAACGAAAAATTGTCATGTACCTGGCTAAGCGGCCTAGCCTACCACGATTCCTCTACAGCTCAATGGTAGAGCATCGGAAATACTAATCGTAATAAGAATCATAGTATAAGAATAAAAGTATAAGAATAATACTAATAAGAATCTTGATTTTTAAGGTGAGAACAAACAATTAGTCAATGTCATCAAACACTGGAAATTAGACGGAAGCGACTCCGATGTACGGTGAGTGAAATTGCTCATAACGAGGGTCAATATACAAAGAGTGAAAAGTAAATTATGCTCGTTTTGAAGGAACTCAAGTGCGAAATAACACAGAATATTTTCGACACAGCCAAAAATGTCTCATTTACAACAGAACAAATGTGTTTATATTTTGAACAGACTCGCGAATGATGCGGAATACACGGAAGAAGATGGTGTAAAGACGTTGCACCTTAACGGGACTACCTCATCGTACGCAACAACCGCCGCAGTGGACTTCGGGAACAAAAGTTTCACCATCGCCAGCTGGGCAAAACTAAAACCTTCTGTTAACCATACATCAGTTATTATTTCCTTGTGGAAAAATCAGAGACATTTTTTGTTTGGTAAAAACTTAATTTCCAAGCTTCGTTTCGTAGTGAAGAACAAAACAAATGAGATAGACATAATTTCATTAACTGGGGGGTAAGATTTTTTTTTCATATTTCAATTATGTTTCAGCATATAAACTAAGAAAAGTATGTTTTTTTTTGTTACTCCGACCTGATATACTAGTTGTTTTGTCCTGTTGATGTTTTTCGCATCTTTAGACAGTCCTTTCTCTTATCACGCCTGAAGCACTTTTGAATCTCTTTCAAAATTAATTAAGGTGAAGGCATTAAACTTCCACTCATTGCTTAGGTCATTCTTTATGGGTTTCACCCAAAAATAACTCAGTGGTCAGCCATATGAGCCTCAATTACCTTCTCCAATAATCGCTTCAGGAGAATGAGCTGATGAAGTTTCTTTTTTCGGACCAGACAATAAAGTCAAATCAAAATGATCAGCATTACTTGCAAGCGGGACACTGAGTTTAGAAAGAATAACAAGTCGGTCCATTTATACCCAGGTCTCTTCCACATGGCGAGTGGTTTCATGCAGCAGCAGTCTGGGACCGAGATAAACACATGGCCTATTTATTTCTGAACGGTCAAAAGATTGCGTCCCAGTCAGTATCTAGTGATGCTGCCCCGAAGGATTACAACCCATTTAAAGAGTTTGATATTGGAAGGAAAAGGAACAGCGGTCCTACACTAAAAGGATATTTGAGGGATTTGATGATTATTGGTAGCGCTCTTACTGGTGAACAGATAATAAGCAAAATTATAGGTAATTAAAGGCATACTCAACAATTTTTTTGCGTTTCGGGGCGTAAGTTTCTAAAGAAACTGTGGTACTGCGTCGGTGGAAGAGTATAGCAGGTAATTTAGTGTTAACAACTGAGTTGAAAACGTAAATTGGCCACCGTAAAGGGTAAAAAAGCTGACGTTTCGAGTGTTAGCCCTTCGTCAGAGTCGAACGAGAGGAGAGAAAGTCAATGATCAAACAGTTGAAGAACAAATATTACGTTGCATGAAAGTTGTCGATTTGCTGAGTATACTACATCGATATTACGAATATTTACAGAGTTTTCTGATTTTGAAATTGACTGACGTCAAAGTCTAGAGCATTCGGGCTCCATTGCTACCGCATTCCCACTGCGCATCTTTGTTGAGAGAGCTATTCATTAATCAATGCTATGTAATTTTTCAATGAATTGTCAGACTTAACTAACAATTCTTTCACCTGAGGCTTATTCACAAGCTTGTTACTTGTTTTCATCATGTTTGTTGATCTCATTATGGTTTCAGATGACATACGCCTGACATGTCAAAAATATCTAACACCAACTTTCTTTTTGAATTGATTTTTGGCCTAATTTACCTTTATAAACTAAAGTTTAAACTTGAAAAGCAAATTTCTACACCAAAACGAAAGTCAAGTATTTTTTTCTTATGCAGAGCCATCTTTCAGTGAAGCTTGGATCGGGTTTAATGACCTCGACACGGAGGGAACTTTTGATTGGCCGAACGGCACTCACGTTACATTTACGAAATGGGCCCCTGAGCAACCAGACACAAGAAATATTTTAATGAATGAAGATCATGACTGCGTGGGGATGAAATTTGGAGAGGGGACTTGGGACGACATCAGCTGTGCGAGGCATCTACCTTTTGTCTGTGAAAAGAAAGCCTACGGATGAAAAACACACTGCGCATGATCGTTACAAACCCGAAGAAAAAGAGAATGCAGATGAAAACTTTTAGATGATTTTTAGCCTGCGATAACTCCAAGTCTGTGTTAGTCTCAAATGACTGTATTTTAACTCTTTAACTCTTTGTAAAAGATTCACGAGAAAAATCAGCAAGCAAGCAGATGGATTCTCTCTCATTAATAATAGCAAGAAGATATCCACAGCAGGGCACACTAAAAACAAACAGTACATAGTCATTATTCAAAATCTGAGGGAATAAAACGCGAGAGAATGAGGAGAAATCTAAAACCTACAAAAAAAAGGATTACTTGGTGCACGGAAAAAATTGCAATCAATCAATAACAAGTTGCTTGAAAGTTTAACGATATTTATTGTCAAAAACACAGCGTTATCACCTTTTTCACCAATGTACCCTTGCTGAGTTACAACGAAACAAATAAAGTTGCTGTTACCTAAGATCTAAAAACAAAATAAAAGCTATGGTAATGTGACCATATAAGGAGAAAGGTAATGTGACCATATAAGGAGAAAGGTAATGTGACCATATAAGGAGCAAGGTTACAACCTTAAACGTTTTAAAAGATCGAGGATAACACAAAATAAATATTTGACCTTAAAGATGAATTGAATAAACCTGCCATTAGCAGGAGAAGTGCGATAAAAAAATCCTTTTATAGACGGGAATTCGTATGATTGTTTTTTCCTGATATTGAACTTCTTCAAGAAACGCACGGTTAGCTGTTAAACAAGGTATAATTTTTTTGTTACATAATATTGTATTTTACATTTTCCCTCTTTGTTGTTAAAGAAATTGGAACATTCTTACGTAACAAGCTAGAAATCTGTTAGCGAAATATATGATGAGCACTTTGAGTTTAGATAACGCAACATCTCTCAGGGTGAAATTAAAAAGCGGAACAAAAAAACTTAAACCGAAAAAAAAACATAAACAGAAGACACTCACAAAAAAGACACACAAAACTAGAGATGCAGACCATCTGGGGTTTGTCTGTAGTGTCAGGAGTTAATTTCGTTGTGTCTTGAGGGGACATTACGGTTCGATTTTGAAGGAGGTTCCGAATAAGAGTTCGAAAAAAGTATGAAACTTCAGGAAGGGAACTCCTCTTTCTTTAAACCAAAGGAGCCAAGCTGCAATCAACTTTTTGTAAGATAAAATAAGTTTGAAACGCAGCGAACTTTAATGATGATCTTTAAAAATTTATATGTCAATTTGTTTGCACAATTGTATTTGTTTTGGACATTATTCTTGAAAGTTTATTTACACAGGTTTCCATGAAAGCTAACCACCCTGAGTTTGATCTGAATTAACAAAGTGTAGCTGATATATGAGCAAATACGTAGATATTGAGTACACTTCTCTTTAGAGAAGATATAATTTTAAATTATTCTTCACTAATAAATTATCTCCGAGCAAGCAAGTTCCCCTATCAGTTTCACTGACACAATGAACTTCTCTTGATAGGATGCAGTTGATAATGGCCTTATTTTATTTGCCTTTGGTGGCTGCTCGATGCAGAACAGTTAAATTTTTCAAGGAAGAAGGTGTTGCTCTACAGAATCACGTCATTAAAACTGTGACTGATTCTAATCCAATATCATGTGGCTGGCAATGTGCGGACACTCCTCTGTGTTTCTCTATGAACGTCAGAAGGTTACCTAATGGATCGGTCACGTGTGAGCTGAACAATTCCAGCAAAATTGCTGACCCACGAGATTTGACCTCAAGTCCTGGAAGTCATTATTATGAACTACCGGTAATACTTTTATCATTGTTAGCATTCAGGGAAAGATACCTCGAATAAACTTACTTGCCTGGTGGAAGTCAATACTACTACATTCAGATATTGCGAACATCAACTTTTCATAATAATTTATCATTTTCACTAATATTCTTACGCCCTCCGACAATCTTTACAAAAATAAACGTTCATAGAAAAGGTTCGGCTAAATTGAAAACAGCTTGGAACGTGGTTTTGTTAAACAACGGCTAAACTTTGTATAAATAACCTACTCTAGGGTTTATTATATCGTTTTTCATCCTAAGAATTAATTTTGGTTTTGCTCCTATCAAGGAGGCTACTATTTACAAACACGTGTTTGTTTAAATCTTAGGAAGTTGAACATTGTACGGCGGAGCAATGCGTCTGTAAAGAAGGTAAGATGTGTTTATAGTGACAGTCATAAATATCGCGATTATTTTTTTCTAAATATCTTGTAACATTTTGCTGTGATAACTTTTTTCAACGATTTCTTTCCCATTTTTTAACTGCTTTTAAGTGAGCTCATGATGCCACCAAATGTAATGTAACCGCCAAAATCTTAAGTACACACCTAAAGACGTATCTGAATCGATGCTCACTTGTAAATGACCTAATTAGCTATACTTAAGTATTCTTCCCCAGCCATCGTTATGTATTCAGTTCGACTAAAATTTCCAAATTGTCCCTAGAACATGGTTTAGGCAGATTCGTGAAAATAAATATAAAGTCTAAACTGTAGCGCTATTTATTTCATGATTGCCACAGCTCTCCCAGATGGTTGGTATAGACTCGGTTCCAAGCTCCTCAAATTGTTTCACGAGAGGAAGACCTGGGGACAAGCCCGCCAGTTTTGCCATTCGATTGGAGGAGAACTTGCGTCGATCGATCAGGAAAATGAAAATTCATTCATTTTCCATTTACTCAACCAGATCAAACCAATTTCAGCAGGCATGCTTGCTTGAGTTTACATACAATACAATGATACTAACCAATACTTATTAATTTTTTCATCGACTCAGTTCGATTCCAAATCTATTCATCCTTTAACTCCCTAAAAGTGACTAGCATCTAATTTCTCCTCACAATAACACCCCTGAATCAAACATTAAAGCTCACGAGAATAACAGAAATGATCGCCAACTAAAGGAGCTCTTGATTGTTAAACAAATTCTCCTTGTCAGCACCTTGGGAAATATATAGAGCAGAGTATGGAGACTAAGCATACTGATGTTAGGGTGTAAGGGGCAACAAGCAGAAGAGAGAGGGTCAAATGATGTCATCGTCATTTGAGTTGTTTTCCGTATGACGTCCGTCTCAGAAAATCTTTATTCGTACCACAATTTGCATTTCCATTTGGGAACGATGCCTGTATGAAAACAGATGCCAAAACGTTCCAACCTGAATCATGAAAACAAAACAAAACAACCAACATCCATCCATCGTTAATAATTGAGCGACATTTATTTTCTTTCTAAGGTAAAAACTTGATCAGCCGCTGGCTTTTAGATGGCAGTGACGTTGACATAAGGTAAGCTGACTGCTGACCCATAATCCTTACGTCAGTTTCAATATATACATCTGATAGGCTTGGTTAAATGGAAACCAAACCCATTTGAACATTTCCTGCTTTTTTTCTTTCAACAGCCTGTTTCAAGGAGCGAGATATGAAGAAGATATCAATAATGAGAAAGCATTGTACCTCGATGGATTGTACGCTTACGCTACAACTCCAGCCGTTAATTTTGTGACGGACAGTTTCACTTTGGCCAGTTGGGTCAAATTACAATCCCCTGTTAAAGATCCATCGACTATATTTGGATACTGGTCAGATCCTTACTTTCTGCGCTTCTCCGCCTACATAGATAACGGACTCCAGTTTCAGTTATATAATCACAAAATAAAACAGCGCGTTTTAAAATTTCGTGCGGGGTAAGGGGAACTTTGTTTTTTTTGCTTTGGATAGTCTGCCAATCTCAGCACATACCAAGAATAACGATGCTTTGATTGTCTGTATTTATCAAACACTTACCAAAATATCCAGTAGCTGTTAAAAATTAACAAACAAAAAGTTGATATTGCATAGAAGGTTATATAATTGAGTTAAACTATATAGAGAGAACTGCCACCTTAATAAAAATCATAGTAAAGTTGAAGCGCTCTTTACCTCCTATTACTTTATCCACACCATTCTTTTACAGAACTCCAAAAATTGACGAATGGTTCCACGCCGCAGCGGTCTGGAACAGAGATGAAAGGAAGACTTACTTATACCTTAACGGTCAGGAAATAGGAAGTGACAAGAGCAACACTATCCCCAAAAATTTCCCCGCCACAACTTGTGACATTGGACTGAAGAGGGACAGTAATGACACAACGAGAGGATATCTGAAAAATCTGATGATTGTTGGTGCTGCACTCACTAGTGAAGAAATAAGTAACATGACAGGTAAAGCAACATTTTTTAACTTCACCAATTCCAGTAATAACTCAAGTTTGGGAACACCTCGGTGTGTTAAAGTTTCAGGAGTGGTCACGATACGTTTATACGATAAAAGTACGCTTTCCCCACAAATTATCTTGTTTTAAAAAAGTACGGTTTGTGCGGAACAATGTCAGTATCTTAGCAACCTACCTCTCCCCTAACCCAACATTAACCTTAACTTGTTATCAGTTGACTCTTGTTGGGTTCTCTTACGAAGGGCAGACGTTGGTAACGTCAGCCTTTAAAACCATTACGGTTGTAAAGAGGTTCAGATTTTCCTCAGTAACATTATTTGAAATTAAATTTGATGTCAACAGATTCAAATAACGAAGCCATGTATGGAGTTTGGACAGGTCTTAATGACATAACCACAGAGGATCTTTTTCATTGGCCAAATGGCAGTCAGGTGACTTATGAGAGATGGAGTAAGGGCCAGCCAGACAACGCTCATGGATACCAGAACTGTGTTCAAATGAAAGTTAATGACGGGACTTGGGATGATGAAAGCTGTGGAAAACGTCTTCCTTTTCTCTGCGAAAAGAAACCTTAAAGTGTTCTTCTTTACGGACAGGTCATTATTTACTGCCTGGGGGGCTGGAGGATTCTGGTTGTGTCAAGATATTATTTACCCAACCCCCCCCCCCCACCCCCTCCCCCTAGGCTCTCTAATATTATTTTGATCCCACCCATAATCCCACCCACGCAGCTAATTGGTAATCGATTTT